CTACAGTGTACCATCACTTAACCCATTTCTTCCCTATGTATACTGTTCCCATTTCTCCTTCTTTCCTAATTTTTTTGAACTTTGTCCTTGATTAAATGCTGCCCCTTTGATCTCAAGGGCTTGATGTATGTAGGAAGTACATACTTCCCTAATGTTAGTAGTCAGTCCCCTTATAGACCTGTCTATTGTTTGGCTGAAAACTGAATCATGGGGGTGAATTCATTTCCAGACCTGACAGGTGACTAAGGTCCAAAACAAGGGATTTCCACCAGTCTCTATCATACCAATAAGCCTAGCATTTTTTAATGATTTTGAGTTCTATTCCACATTTTTCTTTCACTGTCTCTAGAATCTTCTACGATGATTCGATGATTCCTTTCAGGGCAGTTGGATAGGGTAACTGAACCATCCAGTTCTTCTGGTCCCAGGGTTGTTGGCATGACCCATTTGTCTATCATGCTAATTGTCTCCCTGAGTCTTCGGTTTCCTTCACTGCCCTTACCTCTGGGCAGGGAGAGGCTAACAGGTGCACCTTAAGCCTCTCAGATGCCTGTCACTGCTCACCAATGACAAAGCTCAAGGCCCCCGGACTGATTCCAATTCACAGTAACACCATAGGACAAAGAAAAACAACCCCTTTGGGTTTCCAAGACTTTATCTCTATAGGGGAGCAGACAGCGTCATCTTTCTCCCACAGAGTGGTTGATGGGCATGAACCACGGGACTTATAATTAGTAGTTAAATATGGGCTGCTTGTACTAACCAGAGTAGACTGTGGACTGTGTTCTGCCAGCTGATCCGGTGTCACTTGAGATCCTGGCTCTGGACCCTCAGGCCCCATGACTCATTTCCTCAAGGTGTTGAGCTATATCTAAGAAGTTTTCATAACTTTGTCCCCGGTATGTTCCACTATATTTGCAGCTATAGTTAAATGTATAGAAATATCCTTTCAAACCTATATCTAGTCATGGGTACAATTCCACTACTCCTCTCACACTTGATCAGCCTGCGTGTACGACAGGGGGTGCCCCCTCCAAAACCCAGAAGTACGCTGGGTGGCGTGGAACTTTCCTAGTACAAATGTTCCCTGCTCAGCTAGCAGGAGCAACTCCCTCTGAGTTAGTGCACCCGGTGTCACCTGAGAGGGTTCCCTCTGGTCACAGTGAATTTTTTCATAAAAGCAGTTTTACTCAAACCTCATTTTTTGTGATGGCTGATTTAATAGAACAGCGTGCAGCTATGAAATTTTGTTTCCTGTTCGGAAAAAATGGGGCAAAAACTGTTGTGATGTTGGACACAGCTTATAAAGAGAATGCAATGGGGGAAGGTGTACAAGTGGTCTTCTCAGTTCAAAAAAGGTGAAATGTCAATTGATGACAAATTTCATTCTGGATATCCATCAACTTCCCGAATGGACAAAAAACGTGGACAAAATTCGTGCACTTGTGCTCAAAGACTAATGACAGACCATTGAAGAGGTGGGGAAGTTAGTTATCTGATCTGTCTTGGAGCTTAGTTCAGTGAATTTTAACAGACGATTTGGGAATGGGAGGATTGCTGTGAAATTTGTTCCTCGGGTACTGACTGAGCAGGAAAAGAGCGTCAAGTGGAAACGCATGGTGCTTTGGAAGAACAGCTCGAAGTAACGCAGACCTTTTCCCCAAGGTCATTATTGACTACAAAACAAAGCGACATGGTGCTATTCTTACGACCACAAAAGCAAACAGCAATCAAGCCAATGGAAGACGTCATCATCACCTCGCCCATAAAAAGCTTATCAAGTGATTTAGAAGAGGCGCAGTCAAAAGCATGGGGGTGCTGTCAGCCATCCAAACAGATGAGTTTGAAAACTGTTTCCAAGAATGGAATCGCAGATTTGACAACTGTGTTAAGTGTAATAGAGAGTACTTTGAAGGTGACAAGGTTGCTTTGTAAAACACTTAAATACATAGCTTTGAAAATAAAATTCCGTTTTGGGGGAGGTACTCCCTCATAGAGCCAATGGAATGGAATGCAATGTTGAAGAATAACATGTGGCTTATGGTGCACTAGCAATATGGTGCACTAAGTCAGAGCGAGTTGCTCAATGCTACCTAGCAGGGAAAAATCCGTACTATAAAAGCTCTGCTCTACCCAGCATAATTCCACTTGGGGGGTGGGGGACCTCCTCGTATATACCATAGCTTATTCATTCTTTCACTGATAGGTATGTAAATTGCTTCCATATTTTTGCTATTGTTAATAGTGCTGTGATGAACATGGATGAGCATATATTTATTTGTATACTAATTCTTATTTCACACACACACACACACACACACACACACATATATATATATAGCCCTGGTAATTAGTGCTGCTATCCACAAGGTTAGCAGTTCAAAACCACCAGCCCCCCCACAGGTGAAAGACTGGACTTTCTAGTCCCATAAAGAGTTTGTCTCCAGTGTAAGTCATGAAAAAATAATAAATTATCAAGGGTGAGGGAAGGAGGGAGGGTGTGGGAGGGAGCGGAAAATGAGCTTAAGTAGAAAGAAAATGTTTTGAGAATGATGATGGCAACAAATGTACAGATGTGCTTGACACAATGGATGGATGGATGGATTGTGATAAGAGTTATATGAGCCCCCAATAAAATTATTTATGACAATTTTTATTTAAATTTTATAATAATAATTTTTTAAAGAGTTAGTCTCAGAAACTTACAGGGGCAGTTATAGCCTGTAGGGTTCCCATGAGTTGGGCTTGACTCGATGGCAGTGAGAGTTGAGTTACATATATTCTCAACAATAGAATTGCCACATGATATGTTATTTCTATTTCCAACTTTTTAAGGAAGGCCATAGTATTTTCCACAGCGGTTGCACCATTTGTAGGCCCACCAACCGTATATACATGAAGGTCTGGTCTCTCCTCACCCTTGCATTATTTATTGTTTTCTGGTCCTTTAAAAGTTGCCTTTAATGCTGGATTGAGATAATATCTCATTGCTGCTTTGATTTGAATTTCTCTAGTGGCTAATAAACACAAGCATTTCTTCCTGTGTTTGTTGGTCACTTGAATATCTTATTTGATGAAGTTTCTGTTTACATTCCCTGCTTCCTTTTATCATTGGATTGTTTGTGTTTTTGTTATCAGAGTCTTGAAGTTTTCAGTAATTTTTAAAAATTAGCCCTTTGTCAAATATGCTGCCAAATATTTTTGTTTATGATATGAAATATAAGTCCTGTTTCATTGCTCATCTACTAGATATCCAGTTTATCAGTATAATTTGTTAAAGAAAGTATCTTTTCTTCAATGTGTTTCCACCTTTTGCCAAATATCAGCTGCTCTTAGATAGATGGATTTGCTTCTGGGTTCTCAAAGCTACTCCATTGTTTTATGTCTGTTGTGCCAGTATCCGAATGTTTTCACCTCTGTGACTGTGTAGAAGGAATTGACTTCAGGAAGTGTGAAGTATCCTACTTCATTTTCCCTCTTTTGGGGTGCTTTCCTAGGAAGGTAATGAATAGTTTTCCTATCTCTTTAAAGAATAGTATTGGAATTTTGATCAGGATTACATTATGTCTGTATATCTCTTCAGATAGGACTGACATTTTCGCAATGTTAGTACTTTCTATACATAACCATGGTAGATTCTCCCATTTCTGAAGTCTCTTTTGGTTTCTGGTAGTGATTTTTTGTTGTTTTCTAAGAATGGGTGTTGCATTCTGTCAGGTGCCTTTTCTGCAGCAATTGGTAGAATCATGCTCCCCTCCCTTTGTGGGATTTGTGTGGTGGATTGCATTGCTTGTTGAACCATCCTTGCATATCTGGTATGAACTCTGTTTCCTCATGATGTACTGATCTTTCAACATGTTGTTGGATTCCATTGACTAGGATTTTGTTGATTATTTTCTTTTTTAGTGATGTTTTGGTGTCGGGTTTATTTTTGGTTCACAAAATGAACCTGGGAGTATTGAGTCTTTTTCTACACTGCAGAATAGTTTGAATAGAATTGGTGACAGCTCCTTTTTGGAAGAATTAGCTCAGACTTTTGTTGCTGTTGTTGTTTGGGAGTTTTTACATTCTCTGATAAATCTCTTCTTTTCTTATGGATCTTCTCAGATTTTCTATCCCGGTCTGTGTTAGTTCAGGTAAGTAGTGTGTTTCTAGACATTTGTAAATTTTTTGTCTTAAAATTTGCTGGAATAAAGTTTTTCATAGTGTTTTATTATTATCATTTTTAATTTTGTTGGTTCTGCTG